TTCCAGTTAGAGATTACCTCGCGACGCAGTTTGATGAGTTCCGTAATGCATGTCTTATACACCTCCAGAGTCTTTTCCGAATTTCTTCCACAACCAAAGTTGACTTGTTCCATGAGTTTCTCCTATCCGTACTATCAAACGCTTCCTCATAATCAAAGAGTTCGATGTATGGTGATGAGTTTCATTTATTTGATTGTTCAACGATGGTCGGCAGTGTCGCTATTTGGTCTGTACACGAGCGATCCTTATGAAATCCAGCCTGTGGATCTCGAAGCTGGACTTCAACCGAATCTTTTGTCTGATTCATTCTGTTGAAAACGCTTCCTGCTACTGATATTAGTGTGGTGACATTTTAGTCCCCACATCTTCCCAGGTCGCCTTTTCTTTTTTCCACTCTGCCGGCACTTGTTCTCCTTCACAACTCTTTCTGACTAGAATGCGGAGCATATTTGTAGCTAATTCTATTTCTCACTTCAGTGCTTCAGCTGGTACATTGTCTGATGCTGCTGCTTTCCCACCCTCGATCTGTCGTTCGTGCTGATTTTTTTAATTATTGGTCGAGTGACGTCTATGGGAAGATCTATATGCGCTGCTCTGACATCTGGTGCGTTCAGTGGGGCTGGTCTACTCAAGAGTCCTTCAAAGTGTTCTGCCCACCTGGTCCACTTTCCTTGAATTGCAATAAGTGGTTTACTCTCTTTGTCCTTGACTAGCCTGTCAGGTTTACCATATTTCCCTGCTAGTTTCTTGTTGTGTCATATAGTGTTCGTATATTTCCTTCAGTTGCGGCTTTTTCCCCACCATTCTTAGATCTTGTAACGCTTGGGACCCGTTACTTAGAGCTACCTTGAATTAATTGAGATCGTCAGTATCTAAAAGGAATGGTGTACTGAGCTTTCATAATGATGTTTCTACCACTGTCCATCCTTTCTTTAGCTTCAGTTTCACTTTAACAACCCCCAGGTGGTAATTTAAAGATATTTCAGCCCTTCTCTTTGTTCTAAGATCGTCTACTAACCTTCCGAAATTTTAGTGATACAAACATAATGGATTTGGTTCTCTGTAGTGTGATCCGGTGAGACCCATATAGCTTTGTGTATGCACGTAAATGTGAAAATCGCTCAACATCCCGATTTTGTCATTCGTACCTCTCATCAGGATGGTCAGGTATTTTACTGGTTACTTCCACACGATTGACTTCAGTCTCTCGTAAAAAAGTTGATCTTTATCGTTTTCATTCATATCACTGGTGGGTGCCCAGTACTGGATAGTATTTGTGGTGGCATTAGGCCCTAATACGAGACAATGTGCAACATTTAACACGGAGAAAAACCCAACGATGGAGAGGGCGGGAACAATGAATTGAATTCATTGGAGTTGATCGTATGACATGGCACGGCCATGCAGGCGTGGTCTCTGCTGAATGTTACCTCATATCTCTCATTCATACTAAACATATTGTTCTATCTCTAGCCTAAGTGTGTTCTCCATAATGTATTGGTGATTGTTACAATGTAGTGATTCGGTGTAGACGATGATGTGACTTCCACGCAAGATCTTATAGATTAGGCAGTTATATCATGACAAATCTACAATTCTAGGACTAGGTCTATTATTAAAGCACTACTAATATCATAGTAGATCATACTTCTACATATTCATTGCAGTCCATTCCTTCTTTGTTTTGAAGAATGCTTTTATGATTGTGGATCCGTGAGATTTCCATCACTCAGGTACTTTTCGTGGTTCTCTCGACAGCATCAGAACATTTTCTTCTTCATGACCAGAGTGCAATTGCATCGCTCCCAAATCTATCCTTTTCTGTACATATAGTGTCCAACGGGTTCCGCCTATTCCGAGAGCCACCAAGTTGCATTTACTCATTTACGCAGCTATCTGTTCGGCATTCACTATGACGCGTCATAATTCTGCAGTATGAAGACCGTTCAACTCCCATAGTCCAGTCTAAATGGCTTGTTTTGTCTATTTTGACTGGGTTTTTTCGTGGAAATTTTTTCTGTTGGATTAGTTTTATGTTCCCACAATTAACGCCCCATTTTACTCCGCCTTGGCACCGGCAATAACTCTAGAACAGTTACTGACGAGGTTGATCGGTTTTTAGCGTGGTGTCGAGTTGAGGTTAACTATGAACACCGCTACAAAGTAACACGTGCCAAGTAAATCAGAAGGCGTAGGTTGAACGTAACCAAATAAATCCATAAAATCCCCGAGTAGCCAAATATCAGAAGGCAATTAATGGACCAAGTCGAGATATATTCGCTGGCGATCTCGTGGTATCGAAAGGATACCGAGATCGTGCCAGGATACAAACTTGGTTACAGAACGTAACCGAATTCGCGCGAAGTCACAATCAAAGTGTGTGTATAGGAATGGAAGCAAAATATAGCTGTCATTAGCACAGTCAAACAAAAGCACATTAAAATAAACACTGGTACAGCTGGTTATAATAATGATTGTTTTTATTAAACCAGTCGTGTTCTCGTGATAAATGTGAGTCACTACAGGTTAATCACTGACATAAGTGTTCCGAGTTTATAAAAAGAACTGGTTTAAAAACTTAAAAGTGAAGCGAACGAGCTTGACTTATAATCTGTGAAAATTTCAAACTATATGCTTTGTCTCTGTGATGAGACACATTATCAAGGTCGCTTGAGCTCGCGTTTGGTTAACAGTTGAAATATAAGGAGTGGGCACACTATGCGTGTTAGTTTACGGGTTTTCGCGCACATGTAACATATTGTCGTGGATTTTATGTTTCGTTATTTATCAGCTATTAACAGCCTTTTTTCCATCATACGTGACTTCTCGTTATCTTTGTGATTGGAAGATAGTATTTATTTCAATTTATAAGCAGTTTGACGTATTTTGTGCTCACCACCTAAGTAAACATGCAGTTGGCGTAATATGGTTATTTTTAAATAATACAAGGTCAAACAAGTCAAATCCCCATTTTTCTAGTGAAAAATAGAAAACAGATTGACTTTTCATGAAAATAAGCCGTGAAAAGCATTATATATGGTTCACCTCCTTGATTATGGTGACAGCAAACATAGATGTTCGCAGTCGTTTATAAGATGTTATCAGAAAGAAGTAAGCATTAAACTAACTATGGATATTATATAAATTGTTTGTATTTAGCCATAAAAGGTTATTTGCACTAAAGGTAGCATTGTTTGGTATTGAAGTGACATATTATTGTGTAACGTATCAGAGAAAAATTATGTGAATAAGAATTGATGTTGATAGTCTTTTTTACCGGCTTTCTGAACGTAATCAGGAACAGTGTATAACACCACATTAAATAGGCACAAAATCTCCATAAGTGAAACGATGGCTGTCTCTTCTGAGCATGGTGACAAAACCATGTCGTACTTAATATTGATTCATGATGTGTCTGTTATAGGGTTGACGAATAATTTTCTGTAGACGAAATGCACAGTCTCAGACGAAAATGTGAACAAACTTATGATGCATATTGTCGAGTAATATCTAAATGGTACTTACCAATTTTTCTTGCTAATACCAGATGTATGTACGAAATAATACAAGGGTTAGACACTGAATAAATTCCCAGTGCTTGTTACGACACAGACTTGAATAAAAAACAACTTTTCATGAGTTAATTCATGAATTCCTACTGTATTACATACTGACTCGTCCGAAGTAATTCATGCAGACAACGGGACGAAAAGTGAATGAGCAATGGAAGCAGAATCACAAGTTCCTTGTATTCATATCTCGTTTATGCCACATTAATGAATAACATTTTCTTCATAATTCAGACCACGCTTCTTTGTTGTGACGAAACTGATTTCAGTAATTTTTAAATAACATTGATTTGTGTGTTGTAAAGATTACCTATTAATTTTTATTAAAGGAAATAGAAATCTCTAATGATTAGCGCTGTCTGCAAATAAGAGACTTATAGGTACATTCTGTAACCTGCCATTTGATGTACTTATTGAATGTGATACTTATAACTAGGTCTAATTCTTTATTTCACAACTGATTTGTTTGTTTTTCAGAATTGTATGAATCCAATAAAGTCGTCAATGGTTTGTGATGTTTACGCCGGTCTACAACTTACAGAATTTGTTAAAAAACGGTTTAGATGTTCACGTTAACTGTGTTCCGTATTGCCTAGTAACATTTTTATTCAACTAATGAATTAGTGAAATATAAATATAGCAACTACACTTATTGTCTTACTTTATAAACCGTGTCCGTCTTTATTAATAGTCGATATGACGCTAGAACAAATATAGATATAGAATAATATGAACTCCTTATAATCCTTGGAGTGAACAAGTAATAAGATGGATTATGTATTAATTCATTTCACTTTTAAAATTTAGTTGCCGATTTATTCCAGCACCCTGTCACTTACATCTGCTCACTTAATCCTCTGTAATTATGTGACCTCTTCAAATTGTAATGAGTTATTACGTGACCCAAGTTTTCAGTTCTTAAATCCACGGATCACTTATAGGCCATAAGATTTTCACACCACTTATCTGTCTGTGAACTGCAGTCCACTATTACACCACCCATTCTTAATGTGTTATTGACTGTAAAAACAAATGACCTTTGACCTTAAACTGCATATATATATATAGTCATTATTGATAACCCACGTCATTTCAATTATTCATATTAAGGTATGTCAACTGTTTCCCACATCACTGTTAAATCCTAATGCATATTTAGTTATAACGAATGCATACCACTGTTAATCAACATTTATCCTGGTTTCATTTTAATTCATAAGCGGAACTAATCACATGGAATTAAAATCTTAGCTACTGATACGATTTTAATTATAAACGTAATCCGACGAAGGTGAATATGATATGTGGGTGCCTAATCTGCAAGATTGTACGTGGATGTAGGGTTTCTGAATCATTCTTAATTATTACAAACAGTTACACATGAACGTCATTGCTATTTATTCCCATGAAACTAGGAATAAGAAGAAAATTAAAATTATGACAGTTTATTGAATAATCATTGCTGCTAAAGCAGAAAATCAAGTTTACAAGTTGGTATTAAGAATTCTTAAGTAATAATTGTCCACCTTCTTCTCAACTTCCGTTGCGAAACGTTCACCATACTTCTCAATGATGCGTTGCATGTCCGTGTGTCATACGGACAGCCGCGCTTTCACATCTTGCGCAGTCCATCACAAATGTTTCAGTCAACATTGTATCCCCCATTATCTCTTTGAATTGATCTAGAATCCATATAACATCAGCACGCTTTTCCCTTCGAGTCCATGCAAACATTACAGTTCGACCTCGACCGCAATTATCCGTCACTACTAACTGGAATAAGGAATATCTACATAGTAAAATACAACGATAAACATATTCACTTTTTATTATTAGTATTATACGTAGAATCAATGCACACAACTTCTGGATATTTTCTGTACAGTTGTATTTGGTTAGAACTACTGAAACATATTCTAGTGGCATATCCATTTTCTAAATGTTCCTTCACTTCGCCTCTCTGTCTAAGCATATCCATTACCTGGCTCCGAGTAAAACAACCTGAAATATATTTATATACACTTATCAGTGGAGAGTGTAGCTTTCATACCTTTGACATCGGCAGCAGTTGCTTGCTTACCAGTTCTCTCCTTAATGCTTTCGATAACTTCATCTGCTGACTCACAGTGAAGTATTACGGGCTTCAAGTTCTCTTTTTCTTCTGACGATAATCTCCTTGTCAATGGATCACATACCATCCATGAACTACCACATGGATGATTGTGGAGCATGTTGTAGGATTTGATGACATATCCTTGCTCCTCTAGTCTTACACGAAATTTAGATCGACAATTACGGAATTTAGACCTTAAACATAAGATATTAGTTAAAGATCTTACGATTTTTGCCTCACTTTCAAACCTTCCGATTTCCTCTTATGACCAAACGTACAATTAAACGATACAAACAGGTATTTGAACCTGACATCCTTCAGCAATCTGCTTTCTGTGTGGATGTAACGAGTATAAGTAGTCTGAGAAGCGATAAAATTATAATTCCATACTTTTTGGAACTCTTTTAAGGCGCTTTCAAAATCATCCCACAAGACGAAACGCTTGTTCAGTATCATACTTCGAAAGGCATCGGTTAGGTCGACTGAAATGTCACTTGAGCATGAAGCACTAAAAACAGAAATGACTAATTATTAAAAGGTTATTCCTTCCAACAATAATAACCCAAAAAAATACTACAAATACTTAGGATTTACCTGTGACTTGACATTTCGTTGAGCTTTACTACAGTTGTTGGGATCAAAGATCAAATTATAAAGCAACAACAGAGCCAACGTGTACACTACAAAACAGAGAACGCTAAATTAATGGTTTTGGTATTTATTTCGTGCTTTTTTATGTAGCATAACATGACTTATATATGAAAAAACTTGGTACTCATGCAATCCAACCAACCCACGGCAATTGAAATACGGAATGACCGCCTCTAGTCAAGCAGTTCAAGGTCGTTGAAACGAAAGGGCGGGCTCATTTCAAAAGGACCTAACGTTTAAACCTTGCCTAAGGAGTGACTCAATGAATAACTGAAAATTACTATACAAAGATAAATATAATTTCCGTAAATTTTTGTCATGTAGCAAACTTCACCAATATAATTCATGTGCATTTCGTCATGTTGCATGCTTCAGGTTTGATAAAACTGAACAAATCAATTTAAGTAACACGTGAACGCACATTTACATAATCACACATATAAGCATAGAATCACCAGGACATAATCATCTAGAATTATGGTCTAATTCATTATTAGTACTATTATAATATGACCTAATCCCATAATTGCAAATTTGTCGTGATGCGACTACCTAATCTATAACATTTTAAGTGAAAGTCCTGTTATTGTCAATTCTTAATTGTCGTATCATGACACTCAGCGATAAGATGCTCAGCACTTTTTGACTGGGGAGAGAATAGTGTATTCAATGTGGAAATACATCGGTTACACAAGAATGACCACACCTGAATAGCTGAGCCACACTATCCGATTAATTAATTGCCCGAGCGTTCTGCATTGCTGACCCTCGCTTCGTGTTAGTTGTTGAATATGAATTTTCCCAATAATCATATGTTCAGCTCCAAGATCATGTGGTTAGTAACCACTACAAACATATGAAGAGTATTTCATGAATGTGACCGACTCCTACGAAAGAAAGGTTAGAAAGACTCAACGACCACATGCTATCCAAGTTATTAGCCAGCCTGAAGCCTAGGATAAATAATGAAGTGTTCAATACGATATGCTACAACATATATATCTTCAGGATGTGTATGTGACAATTCTAAAAACATCGAAGAGGTTAGCTCCTTATTCTATTGTGGTTGCCGTCAAAAACGTATCTGAAAGAAAAACCTGTTATCCTAGTCAAGGTCTCGAAGTAAAGTCCTCATAGACATTCTAGCTGTGAGAGTGTCTTATTAGTACTGCGGATCCTAATTAATAGTGAGTCAACTACCCATTATCTTCGTTTGGTCAGTTAAACTCCACTGAGCCCTACCCCAACGTGTTTTGCGGGGCAACATGAAATAAGCACCTTACCATACTAAACACAATTAGGGATCAGTGGTCTCGTAAGACGCAATAGGTAAACTAACTGAATAAAACAAGTGTGTCATGTCTGTCCGTCATAAATATGTTTTAGAAAACGACGAACGCCCTAAAAACCTAATAATTAATCTCTAAGTCTAACTTCATAAAATGTACATAGTTTGATTATTGGCAAAAGGGATTATTTTGTGGAGCTGAATACAAACATTGCGTCACACCTCGTGTTTCGTTTATAATTGGGACCTGAGTTGTCGTACTACCATCTTTTTGCCTTTGCAGTAATGTAAGTCAAACATTTAAAATTTATGTTGAAAATACAGTCAACGTTTTACTCCTGTAACTAACTGGTTTTGTACTCACGTTAAACGTTCTTGTTATTAATCATGTCTCAATCAACCAACAAAGCGGAAATAAAGGCTAACAAAGGGGAAAATGCGTTAGAAAATAAAGGGGGAACGCGCCAAAATATCTGCTTTATCGCCTGTCCGGGGGAAATAATGAGGATTTTCCCCTTTTTGTCCCTCAAATGTCGCTGAATTGTCTAACTTTCGCCTAAATATCCGCTGAATTGAATGCTTTTCGCCTAGATATCCGACAAATTGTCTTCTTTTCGCCTGAATATACGCCGACTTGTTTACTTTTGGTCCAAATTTTAAAATACCACTGGCATAACCCCAAAGGTCTCCCATGTTCGCCTTTATCCCTACAACAAACCACAATAAAACTGTAATCCACGGGGAAAATGGCATATGTTTGAATAACTTTATTGAAAAGGAAAAGTGTGTTATTGTACAACATTATAGCAGGAGTTTGAGCATCAATCGTGATGCATTTTCATTGTACCCGACCGTTGTTGCTACCTTGACGTGGTGGTCGGGCTTGCCTATCGTGATGAAGCAACCGAGCTATACTGGCTGGAACAACCGTTCCTCAAGGTCCTACCATGTCAGACAGGTCGGTTGAAGAGCGGTAAGACTAAAAGCAACAAACCCAAGGTCCGAAGGCGAAGTCGTACTGCTGACTGTACAGAGGTGTGACAGCAGTAAGGTGTTTCCTTCAGACAACCAGCATGACAGCGATGCTGCCTTCCCACAAGGAGGGGTGGGGTTAGAAAAGGTCGACCCTAAAAATGCACACCTCACCTTACCTCACGGATTTCCGTCTCCGGCGGTAAGGCCCTTTGAAGAACGGAGCTAACACGTCGAAAACCTCCCACAAAAAGGCCGTGCGCGACCGGCCTCAAGCAGTTGTCCCTTGGGCACTGCGGTCACGCTCTCAGGTCACTGAGACCACCTCTAATCCAATTTCCTTTTCAGGTACCTCCAGAAGAACCCTCCCACGGTGTGGGCAACCGGGAAGTGATAACCGCCCTCATACCTCTAACAGCACCCAAGACCACTGTATTCATAATCAATCTTCCTCTTCAATTCCTATTATTCCTCCTACATCGACTTTCAACCCTAAACTTCCTCCTTCGGCTTCCTCCTCAAGTGTCACCATAGCCAACGATTCTAGTGCTCAAAACTCTGTCCCAGGTCTACTGAAACCTCCCTCCAAACTACACATTGGAGCTTTCAACGTACGCACTCTATGTCAAATCGGTCAGCAGGCTTCCTTGGCTAAAACCCTAGAGTCTCTTTCCATTGATGTATGCTGTGTCTCTGAAACACACATACAGGATCCCAGTGTGGTCATTCACTTGACCTCACCTCGGCAAAACGGAGAGCCAACGAGATACACCCTCCGTGTATCTGGTGACCCGATGGCCAGTTCTCGTGGACTGGCAGGTGTAGGCATAGCACTAAGCATGAGGGCCGAACAAGCACTGCTAGAGTGGATCCCCGTCAACAGTCGTCTATGTGCTGTTCGGCTGAACGGCTACGTAAGAACTCGGAAGGATAGGGACACACGTCGTTGCCTTTTTGTCGTTTCTGTCTACGCTCCCACTGACTGCAGCTCAGATGAAGTGAAAGATGAATTTTACAGAGAGCTTTCTGAACTTCTTCAGAAAGCTAAACGCTCAGACATAGTACTCGTAGCAGGTGATTTTAATGCTCAGATAGGTAGCTTAAACCAAACAGAAAGGCATTTAGGTGGATATTTTAGTATTCCGACACAGCGAACAGATAATGGTGATCGTCTGCTGCAGCTGTGCTCAGACAATCGTTTATTTTTAGCAAACACAAATTTTAAGCATAAGGAGAGACATCGTCTAACATGGCGACCCCCTACACCAAACCAACGATGGACTCAAATAGACCATATTGCCATCAGTCATCGTTGGAGAGGGTCGGTAGAAGATTGTCGCTCATTCTGGGGTACCTGCTTGGACTCCGACCATGCCCTAATACGGGCACGCATCTGCTTGCGCCTCACTGGACGCAAAAAAGCCACATTAAAAAGACCCGTTAGAACTGAGTTGAGTAACGAGAAAACCAAAAGTAGGTTCCAGGAACAACTGAGGTCACACTTAGGTAGTTGTGAAGACGAGGCTGACCCAGATGTTGCTTGGAAGGGCATACAATCAGCTGTGGAAACAGCAGTGACATCTATTAGTGACTTAAACCACAGAGTTGCAAGGAACCAGTGGATTTCTTCAACGTCTGTCACACTGATGGATTCTCGCAAACTCGTCCCATCAGGTTCTGAACATGATGAAGAGCGACAACAAATTAGATCTAGGTTAAGAAAAAGTCTAAGAAACGACCGTGAGCAGTGGTGGGTAACGAAAGCAAAAGAGATGGAAAAGGCGGCGACTATAGGGAACACAAGACAGCTTTACAGACTAATAAAAGAAACTGGAATTAATAAGTCAAGTGTAAGTGAGATTATTTCGGAAAAAGATGATACTCTCATCTGCTCCCAGTCCAGACGTTTAGAACGATGGGCGGAACATTTTAGAGAACAGTTCAGCTGGCCTTCAGCTACTCTACAACTACCCTCCATTTCCAGACAATGTGAATGGAACATTGAAGTAGGTCCTCCAACTCTTGCTGAAGTTCAAAAGGCTATAGTTAATCTGAAACGAGGAAGGGCAGCTGGTCCAGATGGATTGGCTCCAGAGGTCTTTAAGGATGGTGGTCCAATTTTAGCGATTAGGTTGACTAATATTTTAGCTAAGATCTGGGAATTAGACTTTATCCCATCTGACTGGTCGCAATCACTTATCGTCCCAATATATAAGAAAGGGTCAAAATCATCCTGTGACAACCACAGAGGGATTAGTTTAACAAACATAGTATCTAAAATACTGGCCTCGATAATTATCAGACGTCTAACTAAGACTCGTGAACTACAAACTCGAGAGAACCAAGCTGGCTTTAGACCTGGTCGTGGCTGCATCGACCACATATTCACCATTCGTCAGGTTCTAGAACACAGGCATACCTATCGGCGTCCGACGATGGTGGTCTTTCTTGACTTAAAAGCAGCGTTTGACTCTGTAGACCGCGAGACTCTGTGGCAATGTCTGTCATTGAAAGGCGTACCTCAGAAGTACATAAACCTTGTGAAGGCTCTTTACTCGAACACTACTAGTCGAGTCAGAGCTTATGGCGAACTGTCATCTACTTTTGCAACTTCAAGTGGTGTCCGTCAAGGCTGTCCACTTTCTCCATTTTTGTTTAACTTCATCATAGACCTATTGATGGAAATAACACTCTCGTCGACTGAATTCTCGGGTATTGATCTCCTTCCAGGAGGTCCACTTATCGACTTAGAATACGCAGATGATATAGTCCTGTTTGGTGAAGACGCTGACAAAATGCAGAGTCTTCTGGTAGCACTGAGCAACAATGCCAGAATGTTTGGAGTGCGCTTCTCTCCCTCTAAATGCAAGTTGTTGCTTCAGGACTGGTCTGCGTCAACACCTGAACTAAGGATAGGGAGTGAAGTAGTCG